CCAGTAGCCTCATTCTCGATGTCCATACGCACTCTCTTCGGCAAATCTGCTTGTAGGTCAACAAGTACCTTCGCTCTAGCACAACTAGGCCTTGTTTTGTTTATGGTTGCCAAATCCAATTGTTGTGGTTTTCCAACAGCAGAGGCTAGAGAAAACAAACATTCTTTCACAAAGTACGTGGGCAGTAAATGTGGAAATGAAATCCATGCCATCGCCATAGGTGTTTCTTCTCCAACTTTGAAATTTTTATCATAAATGAGCTGTCTTATTTGGTATTCATAACCATCTTTTGCCTTAATATAGTAGGTGCTTTTTGACTGATTTTCTGAAAATCCTCCCTCAAAGTTAGACGAATCAGTACATGTTTGTCTCTCAAAAATCCGATATTACAATCACATTTAATACCACATTGTACAGGGATTAATCGACGCAATTCTTGGAGATCTGGCCATCCGTAAGAGAACTTACCTAGCACAGCATACTGTAGACCTTCAATAATATTCATTCTATCCACCTCTGATTCTGTAAACTTGACAAAAGGTTGTCCATGTAAGAAAGTAGCTGGTTTGAAAGGAATTGGCTCAACTGATGCTGCTTTCTCGTTCATCTGGTTGTTGATTGTTGATGGTTTCAACAATCTGCTATAATCTAATGGTTGGTTGTTGTTATTTGTTGCTGGATTTGATGGATCAAAGATTGTTGATGGCTGACCAGCCATAGATGAAGGTTGGTCGCCGGCCATTTTTTTATTTGATAGTTGGACTGATTGTGTAGATTTATTTTATTTCCTTAATTAGCATTAAGAGCTTTGTATAAATTCCCTTGCTCATGGGATGTAAACACACACAGAAATACAAGAAACCTTTTCTTCTTCTCAAAATCTGCATAGTATAAGAGTCATTGTTGCCTTTTTGAGGTAAGTTATCTCTCTCGTAGCACTAAAGTTCCAGTTTTATCAAAGAGCGAGTTTTCTCTCTTGGTGGTTGTCCGCAACACAAACCCCTTCTGGTCAATTTTTTCTTTTTTGGAATTTTCTTTTCTATTAGGGCCGCTGGAACATTCCAAACCTATCCCTACTAGTTTTGAGTTATTCGTTCACCGGAGTTAAGGTACTGTCAAGACAGATTTGATTTCCGGCGAGATAGATTATTTTTCACCACTTATCTTCAGATTTTTTTCTAATTGGGCAGAAATATGAAGACATTTAAGGATACAATTTTTGAAGAAATCTTGTCTACGAATGAAATTCAGCTTCTCAGCCGCCTCCTAGCCAAACTTCACTTTGCTAATGTTGCCACATCCAATTATGTGCAATCAGGCACGGCCTTTGCTGCTCACCTTTTCTTGTATTGTTGATTCTGGTGCAAATAGATACATAACAGGCTCTTCTAAAGGTATTCAAAACTATTCTCTGTGTCTCAAAGGAGATAATATCAAAATAGCCAATGGTTCTTTAGCACCTACCTATGGAACAGGTTCTGTCGTTTGTACTCCTAATATTAAATTATCATTCGTGCTCCATGTCCCTAAGTTCCCTGACAATCATTTATCTGTTAGTGTCATCACCAAAGCTCTAAACTATGAAATCGAGTTCTGTCTCGATCATTGTATTTTTCAGGATCTTCAAACAAGGAAAAGGATTGACAATGGTAGATTGAGCGATGACTTGTATATATTAGATGGAATTCAAGACTCTGGTCAAGCCTTTTTTGGGATAAGTAAGGATGTCAACCAAGAAATAATACAGTAGCATAGACGGTTAGGATACTCATCATTCTTTGTTTTGAAGAAGTTATATCCCGATTTGTTTTGAAGGACTCAATTTGAATCTTTGTTATATGATGCATGTGAATATGCCAAGCATAATAGAAACTCTTATCCCTTGAGTGATAATAAAAGCACAACTCCATTTATGACTATTCATTCTGATGTATGGGGTCCTACTCAGATTGTTTTTATATGGTCTGGTAGCCGATAGTTTGTTACTTTCATTAATTGCTGCACTAGGATGACTTGGGTATATTTGTTAAAAGACACAAGTGAAGTTTTCTCTTATTTTTAGTCATTTCATAGGATGATTTATACTCAGTTTGATGCCAAATAAAAATCTTGAGAACTGACAATGGCAGCGAATACATGGATAAAAGATATGATGCTAATTTGGAGTCCAATGAGATAATCCATCAGACTAGTTGTCCTTACACTAGTAAACAAATTTGAGTCGCTGAAAGAAAAAATAGGCATTTGTTAGAAGTAGCAAGATCTTTTATGTTCACTATGCATCTATCAAAACATTACAGGGCGATGCTATTCCAGTGGCTGCCTATCTTATCAATAGAATGCCACTTAAAACCCTCAATTTTCAAAGTCCTTTGGAAGTTTTAAAGAGTAAGAATGAGTATATTGTTCCTCTGAAGGTGTGTGGATGTGTTTGCTTTGTCGACACTAGGAATCCTGGGAAACTTGATCCTAGAGCTATAAAATGTGTTTTCACGGGGTATTCTCCGACACAGAAAGGTAACAAATGTTATCATCCTCCCCCTAGGAGATCTTTTGTTAGCATGGATGTTACCTTTTGAGAATTTGAGCCCTATTTCAGTATTAACACATCACCTCTTCGAGGGAGGGCAGTAGGGAGGAAAAGGTGATTCTACCTATTTCCATTATTGGACCTCTTGATACATTGTCACAGGGAAAAGTTAAATTGGAGAAAGAATTCAAGGGGAAACAATTGGGCGTTTGGATTGCCTTGATTTGAAAACATACTCGAGGAAAAATAGAGCAGAAGAAGCTATCATGCAATCTACCAAAGTTAATCACAGTTATCCAAGAGTTTAACATGACTCATAGTGAAGCTAATCACTCTATGTTTTGTCGGCATTCTGCTTCAAATATGTGTATTTATCTGGTGGTTTATGTGGCGGTTTATGTTGACGATATTGTTATTACCTACAGACTACAGTGATCATGATGGTATTACTAAATTGAAGCAACATCTCTTTTGCCATTCTCAGACTAAGGATCTATTAAAGTATTTTCTGGGTATTGAGGTCGCTCAGTCTAGCTCAGGTATTGTGATCTCACAACAGAAGTATGTCTTAGACATTCTTGAGCAGACAAGAATAACAGGCCGTAGATCTGTTGACACTCCGATGGATCCGAATTCTAATCTTCTACCAGGACATGGGGAGCCGCTTAGCGATCCTGCGAGATAAAGGCGGTTGGTTGGTAAATTAACCTCACAGTGACTAGACTTGACATTTTCTTTCCTGTGAGTGTTGTAAGTCAGGCATTCTTTGGTTTGTAAAATCAGCTCCAGGCAAAGGGTTATTGTTTGAGGATCGAGGCCGTGAGCAGATCAATTGGATACTCTGATGTTGATTGAGCAAGATTACCTTCTAATAGACGTTCTACGTTTGGATATCGTGTTTTAGTAAGAGGTAATTTAGTGTCTTGGAAGAGCAAGAAACAGAATGTGGTTATTCGATCTAGTGCAAAAGTAGAACATCAAGCAATGGCTATGGCAACATGTGAGCTACATTGGGTCAAACAGTTGCTCAAGGAGTTGAAATTTGGTGAAATAAGCCAGATGGAACTTGTGTGTGATAATCAAGTTGCCCTTCATATTGCATCAAATCCGATGTTCCATGAGAGAACTAAACACATTGAAATTGACTGTCACTTCGTCAGAGAAAAGATACTCTAAGGAGATACTGTTGCAAAGTTTGTGAAGTTGAATGATCAGCATGCAGATATTTTCACCAAGTCTCTCACTGTCTTTGTATTAGTTACATATGTAACAAGCTCGGTACATATGATCTGTATGCACCGGCTTGAGGGGGAGTGTTACATAGTTAATATAATTGTAAATAAGTATAGTCCCACATAGAATAGGATTAGTGTGTGTATATTGTTAGAAATAGTCGTCCTTGTATTATAGTTAAACACATCAATAATATATTTTTTCCCCGTGCTTTCTCACAAAAACGGTTACAAAAAACTATTTACTTCTATATGGGGTTCTCCCCTTCATTAATAAATTTATTACTTTATCAAAAAAAAATAGTATAGTGCAGAACTCAAGTGACCCTATTCTTGACATTGTTTGGCTGCAAATTTCAAACCTTTTGGAATCTTTTAAAACCAAAATTAATTGCAAAAGTACTTACTCAGATCCAAACTCAGCAACTATAGGTTTTCAAAAACCAGAAAGCCCAAGATTAGAGACATGGTTGTGGCAATACTTGCTTATATGCTCAACTACATGGTCGATTAGAAGAAAATTAACGAGCTTTTATAAGCCCTGTAAACTATTTAATCTTGCTATAGCATATCAAATGCATAGTTCCAACACATTTAAGGGGACTAAAAATAATGTTGCCCCGAAACTATATCTATAGTAGGTTCCCCAAGATTAAACAAAGCTAAAGATTTTCCTTGGGTCACTTTAAAATGCCAGACCCTATATTGTTAACTCAAGCTAGTTTTTAACTAGTTTCCTCAAATTTAGCAGGCCACTTAAGTTACCCCTCCATTAATTAGTTTCTTCTATTCACATGTTCATATTTCTAATGAGGAGCCATTAAACATTCTCTCTATCTATTTCTAGTATTTAAAGCAAAATTATTGCACCATTGCGCAGCAACCAAATTTGCCTAGGACATAAAAACACCAGATCAAAGAAATATTTTCATGTGAATTCAGGAGGACTTTCTGAAACATCATTACATATTGCATTTGATAAGTAGAATGAGATCAAAATTCCAACCACGTTATAAAAACATATGAAACTAGTCACGAGAATGCTATGCTCAATATATTTACCCCATAAAGAGTGCAAACAAATTCTCCATTTTCATGCTTCAGCGCCAAAAGCTTATTTCTCACATATGCTGCAAGTGATGCTGTATGCCTTGCAGGATAGAATAGTACATTTCAGAACATTTTTTATTTTCATTACGCTCAAACTTCAGAGAGAGAGAGAGAGAGAAATGAGGCAACAGTTTCCATAAATAATAGAGAAAGAGATAGTTACAAGAATTAAGCAGAACTATTTCTAACAGCAAACCAGTAAAATTCTTTGCAAGTTTTTTGTTGGCGGTGAATTAGATTACTCAGAAAGGAACAACTAGTTTCTCTGCCAACAGAAACCAATACTGAGAACCGTGCCTATGTATCCTCTAAACAAAGAACAACTTATCGACAAGTCAAACAGAGACAAACTAAAAACTGGATATTTGAGGTCCTCAAATTGAGTAAACATTTAACAAAGTTTTCTTAGTCACTCAAGAGTTAATTAGCCTAACAGCTAAAGCAAAAATTGACTTGTTTCAATATTTGTAGTAACACTTAGATATAAAGGTTAACAATATCTATGTAATCAAAATATAAAAGGTTAACAATATCCAAAAAGTAGATGAACAGGATTAATCAAATAAGATTAGCAGGATTCACTCACCAAGATGAATCATAGAAAGATCAACTATAAACTAGAAAGCTTGCAATAAATCTAGTCAAGAGTGCGCAACAATATACTGTCTCTGTTCAGGCGTAATGACAGCAAAAAATGTCCAATCTCAATATAATCTGATCATCATTCAATTTCAGAATCTATTCACCCACAAAAGAAGTAAGCTCTCACCTTATCCGGAGAAAAGAAAGAAGTTAACTATCACTTACCGGGAAATTGAAGATGTTGTTAACATATTCATTATTCTGAACCCATGTTGAATTGCTGCTATGCTCAAGAACGAGATGGTTCCATCCTCAAAAAATTCCTCTACACCTTCTCTTCTTTTGAAAAAGTCAATGTCAGCAATAGCTGCAGCCACCGTGCCTACAAGAATCCAGGCTAACTTGAAAGTGCTAGAGGAATCAAATATAATAATCATAATAAGACAGGGAACTAAGAACAAACCTCCACTAAAGTAGGTCTTCTTCATCAGCTTAGCAGCATCTGATCAATAGAGGGAGATCAGGAAATTTTGTTAATTTTCACAATGAAGAAAAAGGGAGGAAAACTAGGGGTGGGGACAGTGGCGGAGGCAGGATCTCCACGAAGGGGGTTCAAAAAAAAAAATTGTAGCTTGTGGGAATTGAACCTATGACCTTATGAAGGTTTTGAACCCCCTTGACCACTAAACTATACTTTTGGGTTGTGTTAAGGGGGTTCAAAACTTAATATATAGAGGTATAAAAACAGATTTTGCCTTATATATTCAGTGTAATTTTTCGGCGAAGTGGATTCGGGTGAACCCCCTTCCGCCCCTGGGTGGGGATATGATAGATCTTGTTTCATAACCCAAAAAAAAAGGGAAATATTAGATTTTCCACAAGAAAACCTAGGCATCTCTGCCATCCTTTCCACCCAAGATTCTCTCCATAGACAGAGAAGCAAAAGGATAGAGGCAGAGAGGGAGACAAGAGAGAAATACATTACAAGAAGAAGAAAATTGGTAAACAAGAATAAGTGAGGAAACACACAAGAAATATTGGCCTTCTTATTTAGCTGCTTACCATTTCGAACAATGAGTGCTCCAAGGCCAGTTGGGTAGCCGAATAACTAAACAAGAAACATAAAAAATCTTTTCAAGCTCCGGGATGTATTTTGTATGTTCATGTAATCTTTAAACAGCAGGTATCAAATATAAGGACCTTGTAGAATGAGAAGACAACAAAGTCCGCTTTAAACTTTGATAAATCTGCTGGATCGGTAGCACATCCTTTAGCAGCATCTATCAGAACCAACCAACAACCTCTGTATTCAGAAAAGAGAATTAATGTCTGCGCATCTGCATACGACCAACTCAATGATGGAGAAATAAAATCTTACTGAAGACATAAGAACAAGCTTGTCAGCTAATGAGAACAATATAGCACATACAGAGGACAAAGGCCAATGATTCGATACTTAAGTCAAACTAGTCAAAGCCCTGACTGAATCAGCATACATTGTTCAAAATGTAACATGTACGCTTGTAGTATTGGCAAACAAACAAATCTTCTTTGGCCCAGTTATACCTAAGAATGACAGACTAGTTAGTAATTACTGCATGCCCATGTTTTAACTTTTTGGAAGACAAACATATCAACATCATTTGAAATACCCATAGTTTAGCCAATAAAGAAGTGAAGAGTGTTTTGAACCAACATGAAAAATAAATATCTTTTTTAGTAAATGTTTGAAGCATTAAAAATTCTATTCTCAACCAAGCTTAAAAGAGAAGTAAGGTCTATTTTCTAAAGACATCCCTGACCCTCATAAGGAAGTAAAAACCTACAAGCAGAGGGGAAAAAGAATATCTTATACTATTCAGATAAATGTCAGAACTTTAGCAGCGAGGTTTTTAATACTTTT